TAACATCAAATAACCTACGCTTGTCCAAGTTAATAGGATTGATAATAGACAGGAAATATCCACGAATGAAGAATAGTTCAATTTTGAAATGAACATCGTTGGTGTTTTACTGCATGAACGCATGCAAGCCACGTCATCGTCGTGTTTCAAGTTTAAATTTATACATTTATAATTTTTTGCTTGTTTTGCAGAATTTATTTAAATTTGTATAGGGTTTTGATATTTATCATACAATATAAATTGTAATATAAGTAATGAATTAAAAAACAAATGTTTTAATTTGTAGATGTTTTATTTTATGTATCCGCCTAGTTTATCTCTTTCCAATCTGATGCTCCCCATGCAGGCAATTTGGTTTCATACTCCCATCCAGGGCCCTGTAAATAAAAGATCAGATATATACGTGTTGAAAACATATGTATGTGTTTATTTACTTATGCAATTTAAATGAGTCAATTGAAAGAACGATTTGTGAAAAATTGTAAGGTAAAGCTATCAGCTGATTACAATTTTTTTTAAGTGTACCCGACTCATTTTTGGTCTGTTCCAGAACTGCAAGAATGTAAAACTTTTTGCCACGATAACCGATATTCCCTTCAAGATATCAAAAAAAAAAAAAAAAAAAAAAAAAAAAAAAAAAACAAAACTTGTAGATTCTTCAAGTTCTGGAACAGAGCATTTGAAAAAATTATTATTGATATTAACCGGTTTTGCTGTGGAATAAGAATATTGAAAACTTTGGATAATTTTTTTGAGAGAACATCCAGGCATTTTATTCATCTTTTGCGCTATTTGACTCATTTTGAAAATAAACGAAAAATATCAAATAAATGAAAACAACTTGTTGCTTATAATTTTGAAAAATTCTGACAGAATGCGAGCATAGCCACAGGGCTGTATTTATGTAGTTTTACGAAACTGTTATTGGACCATGATGAAAACGAAGATTGTTTATTATGTGAAACAAATTTATTCTGTATTTTTAAGTTAAGTTTTTAAGGACGCCACATTAAATTTGGCAACATAGCATAACTGAGTCATTTGCGTACAATAGAAATCGATCTGGCGGAACTTTTAATTCATCATCTTTCATCTTGCAATGAAAAAAACATTTATAAATAAAAGTATCTGTATTTAAGATGCGGTTAAATTATCAAAATACCGAGTATCAGGCTGTTGCTATATGAGAGCTAAATGAAGCCGTGGACCAATATAGACAATGTTCTGTCACCGGTGGTAAAACCCATTACGAACTACAAATAGCAAATTTTAGTCAAATCCGTTAGAGAATATAGCTAAAATCACCGAAATACCGTTTTATGGGGACTACATTAAAACTTGGACCGATACAATACCAACAAACCTAGACACAATTGCTGTGTTCCTTAGTGATATCGAAAAAAATTGCAAAACCAGTACATTCTTGCAGGTTCTAAAACAGACCAAATGTAAAGTATTATGCGCATTTCAAAGCAAAACGTCACGCAGATGTAAAACTTTTTGCCACGATAACCGATTATCATTTTTTTGAGAGAACATTCAGGCATTTTATTCATCTTTTGCGCTATTTGACTCATTTTGAAAATAAACAAAAAATATCAAATAAATGAAAACAACTTGTTGCTTATAATTTTGAAAAATTCTGACAGAATGCGAGCATAGCCTCAGGGCTGTATTTATGTAGTTTTACGAAACTGTTATTGGACCATGATGAAAACGAAGATTGTTTATTATGTGAAACAAATTTATTCTGTATTTTTAAGTTATTTATAAAAACGCCACATTAAATTTGACAACATAGCATCACTGAGTCATTTGCGTGCAACAGAAATCGATCTGGCGGAACTTTTTATATCCTTCATCTTGCAATGAAAAAAACATTTATAAATAAAAGTATCTGTATTTAAGATGCAGTTAAATTATCAAAATACCGAGTATCAGGCTGTTGCTATATGAGAGCTAAATGAAGCCGTGGACCATTATAGACAATGTTCTGACACCGGTGGTTAAACTCATTACGAACTACAAATAGCAAATTTTAGTCAAATCCGTTAGAGAATGTAGCTAAAATCACCGAAATACCGTTTTATGGGGACTACATAAAAAATTGGACCGATGCAATACCAACAAACCTAGACACAATTGCTGTGTTCCTTAGTGATATCGAAAAAATTGCAAAACCAGTACATTCTTGCAGGTTCTACACACTTGTTATTGTTCTACTACACTTGTTATTGTTTATTTAATAAACAGTTATTTGTGCCGTAACAATAATTTCATTCTGTAAAGTGTAGATACATTGTAGATAAACATTCAAAGCCATGGCAAAATAATATAATGTAATTTTTCAATAATATATCAATAATATATCATATTTAAAAACGGAAATATCATCCTTCGTAGAATAGAACAAGTAAAAAAGCTGTAAGTTCGGTCGGGCCGGTCCACCATTTGCAAGGAATTTGGAAATTTTCAAAAAAAGAAAATCCGTTAAAAATTCTGTTAAAATCTTAAAAATACCGAATGTAGCCCTTATATTAGGGTTTATACGACGACGTGGACCTGCAAAGGCAACTTTTATCATAAGCCATTACAATATTCAAATACGAAACTTGAAAAAAATCGGTGAATAATGTCGCTGAAATCACCAAAATATCCAATATGGGGAGGTACCGTTATATGGGGGCTATACGAAGACGTGGACCTGCACAGACAATTTTCTGTCTTAGGTATCCATTACGAACTTCAAATACCAAATTTCCGGTGAATGATGTCTAAAATGTATATTTCGAGGTGTTATTGAATTGTAGTACAGAATTTTGTAGTGGCGAGATTGAATAGATGATGTCGAAATAATATAACGCGGTCAAACCAAAGTTATAGGATGATTACTACTTTAAAATAGCTAAAAAAAATCACGAAAAAAGAAAATAATTGCAAAACTTCTAAAATCGGGGAAAAATCGAGAAAAATTTTCAATGGCATCGAATTTTAAAATAATAGTATATTCTATTGACAAACTTCGTAAGGACCTTTAAACATTTGCTGTAAAAAACCGCGAACAAGTTGAAGATTTTTTTTCTTTTTTCAATTTGGCTTATCATATTGAATTCAATGTTTTTTTTTTGTGAACAAAATAAAGAATTATTTTCACCATATAAAAGAAAGTTATGTTAGATACTACGCTTTTAACTCAAGAACGGCTTGACGGATTTTAGCAATTCATACAAATTTGGAATGGTATCATGACAAAAAAATCGCGTGAAAATATGCCAATAAAAATGTGAATGAAAAAGATATTTTTGGCGTGAATTTTTTTAATTTGACATACTATACTGAAGTGTACATTTTTATTGTTTTGAATTCTAAATGAATAATATTAAAAATAAAATGAGTGCGCAGTACGATGTTAAATGCAATCAGTGAACTATCGAATATAAAGGGAGCAAAATAGTACATCGAATTGGACATTTAGTAAGAAAAGGATTTCTATTCTTCCAGAAATTCTTCCTAAACTTTCAAGATACTTTAAATCGCTTTTGCAGGTCATGATATGGGTCATAATCCACGGATAAGGGTACAAACCGATTTAAAGTATATTTTACATTTTAACCATATTTTTCATAACAATTTCAGCAAATGTTGGTAATTTGAGAAGAAACCATCCTTGCAAAAAATGATCATGTTTTGGTATAACCATCATATGATTTAAGCTATTTTCGGGGTCTTGGACCCTTTTTTATATTTTTGGCCCTTATTTGGCATCTTGGTTTCTATAGGGGTAGAAAACCTCTTCGCATATAATTTTCAATTTTCAGATTGGTCTTGACCGCATTCTTTAATTGGTTTGGCTAAAAAATTGCATTCAGGTTACCCTGGAGTAGAGAGCCATCTTACGGATAATTGTCACATAGGCATTTATTTAGGTTTTTTCCCACATTAGTGTACCCGCAAGTCCACTTTTCCGACTGATGTGTGGTCAGAAAAGAAAATTTTGTATTCTAAACCCCAAGAAACTATTGGTTGGGAACGTAGATTTGGGATGTACGTTTAAATGGAATAAACTCCGAAATGTTAAATGGGTACTCATTGGGTGGGAAATTGTGGCAGAAACAGGAAAAAATACGAATATTAGAAAGTAGCACGGGACCGAAAATTTGTTTAATTGTGATTAAGTACTATGATGAAAAATATGGACTTTATGGGGTCTTCGACGCATAATTTAAATGACAAAGAATATTTCCCCTCTTACGGTAATAGGTGTAAAAGAACCTTTTACTATTCTGAAATCAATCTGCCCTTAATTATGATGTGGACAAAACAAAATACCACGCAAATCATACTGAGTTCATAACTGAAAAAACTCGTTCTATACATGCATTGCTGGTTGGCACCTTCTATGTATAACAATCATGCAACTTTTAGCACTTTCATTGCAAATATCAATGTAACTGTTCTACAAATATACCTTTTTTGACATCACTGCAACCGAGACTCTTTTTCCAAATCGCAATGTGTATGTGTTATAGGCAAAAACAGAGTATGGAAAGAGATAACAAGATAGCAAATCCATTTCTTATATCTGGTATAAATTATAACAACTTTATCTGGTTAGTGGGGAATGTATTTTCTTGATGCGTTACGTATGTGTGACAAATGTAAATATCAAAATAAGTAAGGTAGTTAGAATTTTTATTTAAAAAAAAATCCTCACAATTTCCGCAATTTTCTAAAAAGATCCCCGCTAAGTCCTTAAGTCCCCAACTTGAATTTTTCGTCCCAATTGGGGAAAATTCCTCAATGCTGGCAACACTGTCTAGTGGTCATCAAATGCTTAACATCAAATAACCTACGCTTGTCCAAGTTAATAGGATTGATAATAGACAGGAAATATCCACGAATGAAGAATAGTTCAATTTTGAAATGAACATCGTTGGTGTTTTACTGCATGAACGCATGCAAGCCACGTCACCGTCGTGTTTCAAGTTTAAATTTATACATTTATAATTTTTTGCTTGTTTTGCAGAATTTATTTAAATTTGTATAGGGTTTTGATATTTATCATACAATATAAATTGTAATATAAGTAATGAATTAAAAAACAAATGTTTTAATTTGTAGATGTTTTATTTTATGTATCCGCCTAGTTTATCTCTTTCCAATCTGATGCTCCCCATGCAGGCAATTTGGTTTCATACTCCCATCCAGGGCCCTGTAAATAAAAGATCAGATATATACGTGTTGAAAACATATGTATGTGTTTATTTACTTATGCAATTTAAATGAGTCAATTGAAAGAACGATTTGTGAAAAATGGTAAGGTAAAGCTATCAGCTGATTACAATTTTTTTTAAGTGTACCCGACTCATTTTTGGTCTGTTCCAGAACTGAAAGAATGTAAAACTTTTTGCCACGATAACCGATTTTCCCTTCAAGATATCAAAAAAAAAAAAAAAATACAAAACTTGTAGATTCTTCAAGTTCTGGAACAGAGCATTTGAAAAAATTATTATTGATATTAACCGGTTTTGCTGTGGAATAAGAATATTGAAAACTTTGGATAATTTTTTTTGAGAGAACATCCAGGCATTTTATTCATCTTTTGCGCTATTTGACTCATTTTGAAAATAAACGAAATATATCAAATAAATGAAAACAACTTGTTGCTTATAATTTTGAAAAATTCTGACAGAATGCGAGCATAGCCTCAGGGCTGTATTTATGTAGTTTTACGAAACTGTTATTGGACCATGATGAAAACGAAGATTGTTTATTATGTGAATCAAATTTATTCTGTATTTTTAAGTTAAGTTTTTAAGAACGCCACATTAAATTTGGCAACATAGCATAACTGAGTCATTTGCGTACAATAGAAATCGATCTGGCGGAACTTTTAATATCCTTCATCTTGCAATGAAAAAAACATTTATAAATAAAAGTATCTGTATTTAAGATGCGGTTAAATTATCAAAATACCGAGTATCAGGCTGTTGCTATATGAGAGCTAAATGAAGCCGTGGACCAATATAGACAATGTTCTGACACCGGTGGTAAAACCCATTACGAACTACAAATAGCAAATTTTAGTCAAATCCGTTAGAGAATATAGCTAAAATCACCGAAATACCGTTTTATGGGGACTACATTAAAACTTGGACCGATACAATACCAACAAACCTAGACACAATTGCTGTGTTCCTTAGTGATATCGAAAAAAGTTGCAAAACCAGTACATTCTTGCAGGTTCTAAAACAGACCAAATGTAAAGTATTATGCGCATTTCAAAGCAAAACGTCACGCAGATGTAAAACTTTTTGCCACGATAACCGATTATCATTTTTTTGAGAGAACATCCAGGCATTTTATTCATCTTTTGCGCTATTTGACTCATTTTGAAAATAAACAAAAAATATCAAATAAATGAAAACAACTTGTTGCTTATAATTTTGAAAAATTCTGACAGAATGCGAGCATAGCCTCAGGGCTGTATTTATGTAGTTTTACGAAACTGTTATTGGACCATGATGAAAACGAAGATTGTTTATTATGTGAAACAAATTTATTCTGTATTTTTAAGTTAAGTTTTTAAGGACGCCACATAAAATTTGGCAACATAGCATAACTGAGTCATTTGCGTACAATAGAAATCGATCTGGCGGAACTTTTAATATCCTTCATCTTGCAATGAAAAAAACATTTATAAATAAAAGTATCTGTATTTAAGATGCGGTTAAATTATCAAAATACCGAGTATCAGGCTGTTGCTATATGAGAGCTAAATGAAGCCGTGGACCAATATAGACAATGTTCTGTCACCGGTGGTAAAACCCATTACGAACTACAAATAGTAAATTTTAGTCAAATCCGTTAGAGAATATAGCTAAAATCACCGAAATACCGTTTTATGGGGACAACATTAAAACTTGGACCGATACAATACCAACAAACCTAGACACAATTGCTGTGTTCCTTAGTGATATCGAAAAAAATTGCAAAACCAGTACATTCTTGCAGGTTCTAAAACAGACCAAATGTAAAGTATTGTTACGTTCTTGGATTTTACTTAATCCCGTGTAGACGTTGTTTTATTTCCCAATACAGCTCGTACCAAATAAAACACGGGTTCTTTCGGATTACGATTATTACAATGATTTTATTCACACAACTTTACTTTGCACTTTACTTTACTCGACGGTTTCAATTCGCGATCTGATTCACAACTGACTAACTGCCTTTCCATTTCCCCTATTTATATGAGCCTCGCCTGTCGCTACAGAAGTTTCTAGACGATCTGGTAACGCCTAGATTACGAACAATCTACCAATACAACGAACACATACAAACTTACATTGAGTGAACAATAACAACAACACATACACAGGCGAGGGGGTAACAAAGAAAGAGGAATTAAGCGATCATCAATGATGACGTTTAACAAGAATTGTACGTCAGCAACAAAATAGAAAATGAAAGAGGAAATGGAAGGATGTAGAAAAATCTATACAGTAGTTGTTGTTGTGAAGTTATTCAAATAAACTGCGTAGTAGAAATTTACGTTACAATTCAAATTCTTAAATTAACGGAATTCATCTAAATTAACTTAAATCTAAAGTTATATTCGTAACAGTATTATGCGCATTTCAAAGCAAAACGTCACGCAGATGTAAAACTTTTTGCCACGATAACCGATTATCATTTTTTTTGAGAGAACATCCAGGCATTTTATTCATCTTTTGCGCTATTTGACTCATTTTGAAAATAAACAAAAAATATCAAATAAATGAAAACAACTTGTTGCTTATAATTTTGAAAAATTCTGACAGAATGCGAGCATAGCCTCAGGGCTGTATTTATGTAGTTTTACGAAACTGTTATTGGACCATGATGAAAACGAAGATTGTTTATTATGTGAAACAAATTTATTCTGTATTTTTAAGTTATTTATAAGAACGCCACATTAAATTTGACAACATAGCATCACTGAGTCATTTGCGTGCAACAGAAATCGATCTGGCGGAACTTTTTATATCCTTCATCTTGCAATGAAAAAAAACATTTATAAATAAAAGTATCTGTATTTAAGATGCAGTTAAATTATCAAAATACCGAGTATCAGGCTGTTGCTATATGAGAGCTAAATGAAGCCGTGGACCATTATAGACAATGTTCTGACACCGGTGGTTAAACTCATTACGAACTACAAATAGCAAATTTTAGTCAAATCCGTTAGAGAATGTAGCTAAAATCACCGAAATACCGTTTTATGGGGACTACATAAAAACTTGGACCGATGCAATACCAACAAACCTAGACACAATTGCTGTGTTCCTTAGTGATATCGAAAAAATTGCAAAACCAGTACATTCTTGCAGGTTCTACACACTTGTTATTGTTCTACTACACTTGTTATTGTTTATTTAATAAACAGTTATTTGTGCCGTAACAATAATTTCATTCTGTAAAGTGTAGATACATTGTAGATAAACATTCAAAGCCATGGCAAAATAATATAATGTAATTTTTCAATAATATATCAATAATATATCATATTTAAAAACGGAAATATCATCCTTCCAAAATTACGCAAAACTTGTTTTCTGTGACAAAAAATGCAATATAATTTATGATTTGAAATAAGGAGTAGCACAAGACGAATTGTACGAACTGTATTATTTACGACACACTGACTTTGTCTACTCAATCGTGTGCTAAGTATTTGATTGGCATTGGCACCCATCAACAACCCCCATTTTGATTCATGTCTGTCACTGTCAAAGGCCATGGCATGATCTACTCGACTGTTTACATGGTGTTCTCAAAAAAAAAAACAGTATTTCGACAATGACAGCGAAACATGTCATCAACATAATAGTGTGTCGTTTGTGTACGTGTGCTTAAATTGAGTGTGTGTGTTACACCGACGGTAGAGTAGAGTTTGTGCGTGCGTTGTTATTGTGAAGCAATAAACACATTTAGAAATATAAAATGAAAAATATGAATGAATTCATATTTTTCTTGTAAACTTGCGTATTCTTGTAATTTTGTACAGAAACAGTATTGAAACAGTATGTTTTTTTATTGATATTTTATTAAACTTCTTTTTTAACTGAATTAAAGTAGATTTTTTTTAATTTATACCAGAGGTATACGTTGGACAAATGCTCTGTTCCAGAAACAGCAAGAATCTACTAGTTTTGCAAGTTTGTCGATGATATCTTGTACATTCTTGCAGTTCTGGAACAGAGCAAAAATGTATGGTATTCCACAATAATCAAAATTGGAAATCAAATGGATTTTTTTATTAAGGAACATTATTATTTTTACTAAGAATTCGTAAGCGCAATCGTAAATGCAGGTAGCGTGGGTTTTCCTCCTCATTTTGTGAATCCCCGTTCTCATTGATTATTGTATCATGTTTTTGCTATTGTTTGAAAGAACACATTTGTATGACACTATTCAACATCCTCATTTATTGGTCAATGCGTGTTATGACGATGGGTTTGAGTCTGACCGAGCACATGACGAGACATCGAGCATTTGGTTGGATGTCACGTACTGTTATGCGTTGGATTAAACAGGAAACGTTTTCTCTCCATGGCATAAACAGAGAAATATGTCGCATTTGCAGCCTTTTAATTTGAAATACCCGTCTTCTATACACTATTACACAAATTTGCAACATAAAGTAAAAGATCGCTATTACAGTTTGGATCGTAGAATAGAACAAGTAAAAAAGCTGTAAGTTCGGTCGGGCCGGTCCACCATTTGCAAGGAATTTGGAAATTTTCAAAAAAAGAAAATCCGTTAAAAATTCTGTTAAAATCTTAAAAATACCGAATGTAGCCCTTATATTAGGGTTTATACGACGACGTGGACCTGCAAAGGCAACTTTTATCATAAGCCATTACAATATTCAAATACGAAACTTGAAAAAAATCGGTGAATAATGTCGCTGAAATCACCAAAATATCCAATATGGGGAGGTACCGTTATATGGGGGCTATACGAAGACGTGGACCTGCACAGACAATTTTCTGTCTTAGGTATCCATTACGAACTTCAAATACCAAATTTTTGGTGAATGATGTCTAAAATGTATATTTCGAGGTGTTATTGAATTGTAGTACAGAATTTTGTAGTGGCGAGATTGAATAGATGATGTCGAAATAATATAACGCGGTCAAACCAAAGTTATAGGATGATTACTACTTT